GGAAAAATATTAGAGGGGGGGGTCTTGACTTTTTATTCACCCTGTATAATAGTATAGATAAGATTTGAATGTTTGTGAGTATGGCATAGTGATCGTTGGTCACATCGAAGGCAAGGGTGATATTAATATAGATCGCATTGGACGCAAATTTTGGCGCCAGCTTCAACTCCACTGAGCAGACGACGCTAATGTCCCTTTAAATACCATCGAAGACTGACGAGGCTCAATATTGGATGCGTCAATACGTCACCGTCTTGGTTTTGTTATTTGAGTCCAAATAGTTTACAATATTTATGGTAAATATTTACAATAGTTATTGTTTAGACAAGATGTAATTATACTAGGTGTACAATGCAGTTGTTTGCTTGCATTATTGAGCGGAGCTAGCATATTAATCCAATACTTTTCTAAATTCAATGGTACATCTGTTCCTCGTAAATGAGATTAAATACTTTCAGTATCCAATTCCAATGGTATATTTGGTTCGCATGAATAAGATACCTATTTGCAGTATCCAAAGCAAATGGTAGACTTACTTCTGGTTCACTTAAATTTGCAGTTTTCTTTTCAATGTCAATGATACATTTGATTCCCATAAATAAAAAGCCCTTTTGCAGTATCCAAACTCAATGGTACATTTGGTTCACGTAAATTAATTGTGTACTTGCAGGATCCAAAGCAATGGTTCATTTGATTCCCATAAATGGAACCAAAAATATGGTCCCATGTTGGACCTAATTGCTATATCCAAAGTCAATGGTACGTCTGGTTCATGTCAATGGAATGTCTACTTGCAGTATCCACTATCCAAACTCAGTGGTATCTTTGGTTCACATTAATGGAATTCCTAATTGCAGTAGGCTATCTATTCAAAGCCTGCATTATTATGGTACGTCTAGCTCACATAAATGGAAAGTCTACTCGCAGTATCCAAATTCAATTGTAGGCCTATATTTGGTTCACGCAAATGGAATTTCTATTTGGATTAGTCAATGGTCTATCAGCCTTATTCCGGCGACACTTATTGGTTATTCATTTTGTAGTAAATTATGCTCAATGATATTAATCCGATTGTTCTTCTTTTTTCCTCTTTGCAGTATTTGTTATGTACTATTTAGATGATTCGTTGACTAAGACTAACATATGTTGCGACTCTTGTTTACCTTTTTATTATCTCGCAAATAATTTCATGGCAACCAATTAACCCATTAGGCCCATGTTAAATCTCCCTAAGCTGAAATTCACGTAGGGAAAAGCCCTGTAGTCCGATTTGTACCATTTCAGATTTATACCTTCCCATGGTTGGATACCTTCCCATGACTGTGCTAAATTTTGTGCGGATCACTTCAGCCGATCAGGAGGAGTATGTGTAAAACAAAAGCAGGAGTGTAGTATTTAAGAGCCTTGCTTCGCTCCGCTCAATTAATCTATACTGATCTATATAGGTAAGCATGTATCTTTAAAATATTTTTTCTCAGTTCGTGTGCACCGCAGGGAATATTTACGCATACTATTAGAAAGATATTGTCCTGTTGATGTACAGAATCTCTTTATAAATTAAAATAGGCTCAAACATAAGCACAAAAAATGAATTTTAAATGTGTAAAAAAAATAATATGGGCTTTAGGAGTTGCCATCCTGGTAACGAAATAACAACAAACTATGAACAGAAGATCTAAACAAATGGAAGAAACTACAATCACATGTTTTATTTACAGCGTGGGTGAAAATAGAGAAGCCTGTTGTACATTACATATTTTTGGTCGAGTTTTCGACCACTGTATGACCAATAGTTTCTATTAAAAGGTGTGTCTTGTTTTTAATATTTTTTTTCTGGTGTAGTATTAACTATTTTTATTAAATTTACTTATGTGTACTATACTTTACAACGGAGGGCTCTATCAATATTCTAACACGTATTTACATGTTCATAATTATAAGATCCTTATAAGATGCATTCCCATGGATCTTAGTTACGACGTAGACTGCACGTCGTTTTCCTAACTCTACATCGAATAGTTAGAAAAATTACATTAACTATGGTGGTTATACAACTAATTTAGAACTAAGATAAAGCCTTCACTGTCTATGAGTCAACTAAAATTACCTTTCTGTACTGCAGTTGCAGATGTTTTAATCCAGGCATTTGTCACAATCGAGATTCCTGTAGATCCCTCACAAACAAACTTGCTGTAAACAAAACGAGTCCACTTATTTTCTTAACACGGATTACTATCGTATATGTATGTTCATAAATTATGAACATTTGGTGCTCCTACAAATGTTATGAGAATGTACTACTTGGATCTAGGACGGCCAGGAATTCATAATTCCAAAGTAATCATTTTCTTTGGTTAAGTAGTGAAATTTCTTCATTATAAATTTATATTTAACCGCATGGCACAGGTTACTAAACCTACGCAGCTATAACATGTGCCAACGTGACATTTGTAGTGACTTTGTAAGTTATTTTAAATGTAATTATGTGATTTAATTAAAAACTGTTTTATAAACATACTAGTTTTAGAAACTGTTTACTAAACCAAAACAAAATTTCTACGAATCCATATCTATATATATAATTCCGTAAGTCAAATTTTTGTAAAGAAATTGTGAGTGACTGGATGGCCGTAGAAGGATGGGAGGGGTCTTATTTTAAAGGTCTTGACGTGAATTTTGAGGGAAAACTATTCATTTTTCTTATGTTTTTACCATAAATTCGCAACAGAATAAAACTTTTCCCATTAAAACAACATGGGGTTTAATTTGTTTACATCTTTTGAAATTAAAACAGAAGTCATTTACTGCTGATTTCTGTTTACTTCAATACAGCTGATCGTGCTATATCTTGAAAACAGTGATCAATACACGCATTTGGTTTACTTTTAGCCAGTCAACTATGAAATGTATACTACAATAAAACTGAAATCTTGAAGATTAATCGGAAAAACGTCTGCATTCTTTGTTTATATTTAAATCATATACTCAAGTTTCATTTTTTCATGCTTTTACGTTATTGTCGTGTTAAAGGAATAAACGACATAGAATAAATATTCTGTATAAATAATCAAAGAGTCGAAATTAAATCTAACTTCTGTTTTGTTTTTATTTTTAAATCATATGTTCAAGTTTATTTTAAATGATGTTGTTTTCTTTATATTTCTACACATTTTAAGGTTAAGGTTGTGTTAATACAACTAAAATAACCTACAAATGTTATTGGTTCTAAAATGGTGTATTTGCATTCCTTCGTAAGTAAATATTTTTTTAGTGCAGTGAATATACAACGTAGAGTAATCATATTCGATCATACTTTTATAAAATCACCAGGGATTCAAGATGTGTTGGTATGTAGGCTGCTGGATATATATTCTTTTCATTATAAGTATTGTAATTAATATGAACGCCAGGGGAAGACCACAAAGGCGGGGAGCTGTTCATAGGAATGACAGTGCGCGTAGAAGAGCAAGAGTAGATAATGACGAACTTAATCAAGATATGTTACAAACCCCTTTTTAGGAGACCCATGGTAGACGAAAGAAATGTAAATATCCATGATGCAGGATTACTGGACCAAGAGTGCATTCAATGTAGTGCTCTTCATTTTAGAGAAGAACTAATGAATAATCATTTTATGACATGTTGTCATAACGGACTTATTAACCTTCCTCAGCCAAAAACTAATGTAGAACTTAAAAATTTGTTTGAAGAGAGCCCACAACTGTATAAATTCATTCGACAATACAACAGTGCGATCGCTTTTGCTTATTTTTCAGCCAGTAAGAAAGATATTCCAGGAAAAGGACCATACTGTTTCAAAATTCAAGGACAGATTTATCGTTCAATCTCAGATTTGCTGCCTCAACATGATGAAGACCCCGTGTATGGCCAATTGTACATTATTGACACATCAACAGCAACGGAAATTCGTCAAAGGCGTCGAGAAAATAGTGACTTAAAACCTGAAATATTGTCAAAACTAGCTGAAATTCTATTAGACAATCCATTTGCACAAATTTACAAAAGAGCTTCGGAAGAAATGGTTGTACAAGGTGACAGTGAATCAGAACTTAGGTTTGTAGACAGGATAAATATGGATCGTCGTAGGTATAATAAGCCTACTGCAGATGAAATTGCAGGCGTCTTCAACTCATCTGAAGGCGAGCCTCCAATTAATTTTTAAAATTCCAAACAGGGAAGCTTTTATTTATCCTCATTAACCACAAGACCAACGCTACCTTAGTAAACCAGTATTTATTCACAAACAATGATATGTTTGCTGCCTTTTCATGTTAAACCACTGGAGTGATTCAAATTATTTATTGAAAATGACATCAACAAAAGCAAACAAAGAAGAACAACAAACTGGTTTTTATACAAAAGATATGGTGTAGGGATGCCTATTCTGACACATAGATAATGTTATTCTGAGTTTGTTTAAATAGGCTACCGGAATTGCAATATGTTGTTTTACATTTCAGCTTTTTAGGGACTTATGTCCCTACAAGCCACTAGTAAGTGATAATTTAACTATTCTATTAACCTAGGTTAGTTTATATGTTGAGCATTCTTTTCACATAAAATTTAATATTCGCACAAACAAAAATGTACGACAGATAAATACTAAGTCCCAAGATACCCTAAATATTATTTTAAAATTTAAACCTTATAATTATTGTTAGCAAATATATTAAAGCTAAACACTATTATTAACGCTTGCTTTTTCTTAGTTTACTTATTAGAAAAGATTAAGTACACGAAATCATAATAAACCATTATTTGTAAAATAGACAAAAATGTTTTTAACGTAGGCTAAAAAAACCAAGGAAAATGTTTCCACTTTTCATATAGACCACATTATAATACTGTACTTGTTCTGATCAAAAACCTTTTTTAGATAACGACTTAGCAAATTCTATAGTCAATAAATCTGAAACCATATGATTTGCACAAATACCATTTTGAGGTTATAATCGAAAAAGATTACATTCAACAAAAATGTGTTGAGGTTATGTACGAAAAATTCTCTGTGATCTTTGACGTTGGTAAAGCAGACCCGCCAGCCAGTGGCGCATTCTGTCAAGGTAGTTCGTCGAATCTCCACAGTAGCGCTTCGGTGCGAACCTGCAAACTCTCGACTTGTGGACTCTCGAGAGCTGTCAGTCACACGTTGTTCCCGCTTCCCGCATGGGTTGCTTCCTGGTATAGACAGTTCCTGAGTGTCCTGTGATGATGAACGGAGGTTGTCTCGCGGACAGGACGTCCCTGTCAGAGCCCAAGAAGGATCTCCTTAACCCCTTCGTGCATCACCTGGAGTTGACCACCACCTACGAGAAGATCAAGGTAAGATACTGATAAGGGTGTACAGGGGTGAAATATGTTAGCAGCGGCCGGCGGGGGTGCGGAACGTAAAATTAAAACATACATATTTTTGAGATTGTTACTCAAAACGCTAACAGCCGATAGTGTGAACTTATATTTTTCAAACTATAAAGAATGGGACTATTTAAACATTTTGTACAAAATATGTTTGATCTCGTATGAGATGAGGACCCTAGCGTCAAAACAGCATTTTAGTTATACAGTATTATAAAACTGCCAAGTTGTAAAAAGACGCTGTTAGGCCTAATTTAAACTAAAATCTTAAAAGTCGTAAAGAGTGACTAATCTAGATTATTGTCGATGTTTAAGTTGAGGAATGCAAAATAATTTTTCCGAGAGCATTGCCTCTGATAAACGTATGATCATGATCGTGTACGCGATTTCCGGACGAAGACCATTTCACATTAGACTCTGCTTATATACAATAGACACTCGTGAAACTGTCATCCTGTAAAAAATGCAATGTACGTTTTCAATTGTCTTATAAAAACAAAATGTTCATAACCTTTATTAGGTTGAGCAATTTTTCTGACAATATGGTGATTTATTTCGCAGATTTAGAATACAATTCAAAATATGTACTCTTTAGCTATGCAATAGTTACTGACAATAAATTTGAGGTCTCGAATAGCTGTTGTTAAACAGAAAATAAATTCTAGAAACCGGAAAGAGTTACGATTAATAAGGATTTGAAGAATTATTTTACGATTTAGAACGAAATGTTTGTGTTTGATCTGGTGAATGGGGTTGTTAAACGATTGTAATGAAATTAAACATGGGCTTTAAATAGTACTTTAGTAATTCTTATAACATCTTACATAAAGTTTGGGTATTTTGACGATTTGCATTATTTTCACTTTCCTGTTTCACTGCCAGTGACGGATTCTGGGTACCATAACTGAGGAAGCTATTATAGCTATAGACCAAAATTATACAGAAACTGGTCTGTGACTTTGTTTTTATTTTTCGCTGTATCCTTTTTCATTCTGTGATTATTATTGGTTTAAACGTGAAGATTTTAACCACAGAGAAGTTCGGTTTACCTCATTCTTTAGAGAAGGGTTATATGTTGAATTAAATGTTTTATTTTCATGTATTGTTAATTTTACACGTTTCTCTACTTTAGCATTTTTTTCAACTTGCGTAAGTTGCTAGAAATACGTTTAAACATCAAATTAAACTGTACATATTCCGAACAGAAACGTTCCCTAAATCCCCTTCAGCAGACAAATCTTTAAGAGATTTTTAGCTATGCTTTAAGCTGTAGACGACCTACTTAGGATGACATGTAACTGCCCTGCTTCACTGTCACTACTCGTCTCTGCCACAAGCAAGTTGCGGTGGCGCTGCTACTGTCATCTACTAGGTGTGAGGGAATGTTGGCCATTTGTCATGTCAAGTCTTCATGCAGACGCACATCATGTTCCGTTGTCTGTTGTGCAAAGTAGACTTGTAGGTCGTCTTCTCTCACTCTCTCCTCGCGGAAGCTTGGAGTCTTGAAGATACGTTTGGACACGTGTGTGTGTGTGTGTGTGGGAAAGCTGCTATTGTAGGGTGTAGAAGGTGCTGAGGTTGTAGAAGGTGCGTCATTGATTGGACGTTAACCTTAGTCATCTTTAAAACAGTAATGATCTAGGATCGTAGTTGATTAGGTTTATCAAAAAAGAAGTCTTTGAAAAGTTCAAGAAATTCATCAAAATGATCAAATGTGGGTGGATAATTACGTATAGGCTAATATATGAGGTTTGGTTGTAAGTGTTTTATGTCTTCCCTTTACAGCCAAGGACGATAGGATCTAGCCTGAAACAGTTTTACACATTGCGTCAGGCTAGCTATTGTCACGATATTATCACATAGATCTAAATCCATCTAGTGATTGGCGGTATTTGAACCAGAGACTACGGTGACCGAATTCTTCCACTAGGTTATTACAGCCTAGCTCACTTTTTAATGTATAGATACGGTTGGGGTTGATCCTGGAAAACGTTAAAAGTTTTTTTGTTTGTTGGAACTGACCCCACCGTCCCCAGCTACCCTCAATCGGTTGGTTCTCAATAATTAAATGGCCCTGAATTAAGAAACAGCTGATCTTAACAAAATCACTAGTCCTCTAATCATATTATTGGACTAAGATACACCGAGTGGCATCCACCTTAATTTGTCTTAAACATATGGTTGTCCCTGTAGTAGCTGATGTAGGTGATTGACACGAACCAAAACCCAATTATCCTAAAACATGGTTACATCCTAAAAATAAAGAGGATTTGTGAATCAAGGTTTTTTTCGGAATTCATTAGGAGGTTTTGTCATGGCAAAAACATTGAACAACCCTGTGGACTTTCAGATGAAGTGTCCACAGCAAAAACTGTCAGTTCACCCATCAATAACACTGTGGAGGTGTGATGTGACGTCACTTGGCTGTTGTAGGACTTCTGTCAGTGGCACGAGGACATACACGTGCTAACTGCAGTGTGGACGGGGTATACACAACATAATTTATCTAACCTTCACTTTGTGTCCAGCTTGTACATCACACGCTTGTAACCCACGTTTCCTTGAGTGTTTGAGGAAATACACGACAGTTGACGATAATTGCTACTAGCTATCGCTACTTAATATATTTGTCATCGAGCACCGAAAGGAAGGTTTTGCATATTTCAAGTTTCGAATTGGAGACGTAGTCACGACCAGACCTCTTGGTTTGTCAATCCTTTTGATGGTTCCAAGCTGGATCCAGTTGATTTTGGATCTTGGATTTTGGATTTTTGTTGATCATTGTGGATTTAGGTAAAACTGAGTTTTCACTACTTATGTTATTTTGACTTTTTTTTACTTTATTTACCTAAATTAGACTTTTTTGAGCACTTTTTACATTTAACACTTTTGGGGGAAACGCCGTTTTCACCCTCAAAATCGCGTTTAAAGTTTGCCAAAAATTATCACAATAAGGCCATAGGTAATTAGGCCTATCTTATGTCGACCTCCAGTCAACGCTCTAAAAATTAATTTTTTTTTTATCTGTTCGTTTTTTAATGCTGATTCCAAAAATGATATTCATTTTTTGCGGAAACGTCCCGTTTTCCCGGAAAATGGGAAAAACGGGAAAAATAATTTTTTTCTCAAAACCCATGTTGTGGGTACTTAAATTGTGCGGAATTTCCTCCTGAACAAGAATACACTATTAAGTAAAATATCACCGGAAAAGCGACCGCGCTGGCTACTTATGTACTGCCGCGTGGCGATAGCATTGCGGGTGACTCTAAGCCATTGTAGAATGCGGGCTTTATTTTGGGTTAGGATTGGCTAGGTTAGGTTAGGTTAAGTTTGGTTAGGTTAGGTTAGGTTAAGTTAGTTTAGGTTATGTTAGTTTAGGTTAGGTTAAGTTTGATTAAGTTAGGTTAGGTTAAGTTTGGTTTGGTTAGGTTAGGTTAGGTTAGGTTAAGTTTGGTTTGGTTAGGTTAGGTTAAGTTTGGTTTGGTTAGGTTAGGTTAGGTTAAGTTTGTTTAGGTTAGGTTAGGTAAGGTTAGGTTTGGTTAGGTTAGGTTTGGTTAGGTTAGGTTAGGTTTGGTTAGGTTAGGTTAGGTTAATTAGGTTAGGTTAAGTTTGGTTAGGTTAGTTTAGTTTATCAATAACATGAGTTTTGTAAGTAAATGGACCTAAAATTGTGGTATGCGGGCTTTATTTAAGGTTAGGTTAGTTTAGGTTAGGTTGAGATTGGCTAGGTTAGTTTACTTACAATACTCATGTTATTGATAAACTAACCTAATCTAAACTAACCTAATCTAAACTAACCTAACCAAACCTAACCTAACCAAACTTAACCTAACCAAACCTAACCTAACCAAATCTACTTAAACTAACTTAACCTAACCTAAACTATACTAACCTAACCAAACTTACCTAACCTAACCTAAACTAACCTAACCAAACTTAACCTAACCTAACCTAACTTAACCAAACCTAACTTAATCAAACTTAACCTAACCTAACTTAACCTAACCTAACCTAACCAAACTTAACCTAACCTAACCAAACTTAACCTAACCTAACTCGAAATAAAGCCCGCATTCTACAATGGCTTAGAGTCACCCGCAATGCTAGCGCCATGCGGCAGTACATAAGTAGCCAGCGCGGTTGCTTTTCCGGTGATATTTTACTTAATAGTGTATTCTTGTTCAGGAGGAAATTCCGCACAATTTGAGTACCCACAACATGGGTTTTGGGAAAAAAAATTATTTTTCCCGTTTTTCCCATTTTCCGGGAAAACGGGACGTTTCCACAAAAAATGAAAATCATTTTTGGAATCAGCATTAAAAAACGAACAGATTAAAAAAAAAATTAATTTTTAGAGCGTTGACTGGAGGTCGACATAATTACCTATGGCCTTATTGTGATAATTTTTGGCAAACTTTAAACGCGATTTTGAGGGTGAAAACGGCGTTTCCCCCAAAAGTGTTAAATGTAAAAAGTGCTCAAAAAAGTCTAATTTAGGTAAATAAAGTAAAAAAAAGTCAAAATAACATAAGTAGTGAAAACTCAGTTTTACCTGGATTTAATTAAGACTCAGCCTGTACAATGTCGAGTGTCCAACATTGTTTGTATTAGAAAACTGCATGAAATCATATAAAAAATGAAACTTTATTTAACTTATGACTTGCTTGTAAAACTTTAAAAAATACAATACCTACTGTTTTTGTTTTTGTTTTTACAAATAAAAATTCAATCATATGTTAATTTACAAACAGTCTGTTAGGAGATTGAACATGCCGCCCACCTTGAAAGTACCACTTTCAACAAAATACAAAAAATAAACTATTTACAAAAAATGTCTTATTGATTGTCTTTGGCCTTTTCAATTTTCAATTGGTAATACACACAGGCGATTTACAGATCTCTTGAATGTTCCTGTAGAGGTTCGCACTGTAGCCACTCTAGTTTTTCCATCAAGTCCAGGATGAACA